AGGTCGGGAGGTCTGTCGGTCTATCGAGGTCTATCGGGTGGTCAGGCTGTCAGTCGATCGGTCGAGGTGAGGCGGGCGATCGATCGGCTGATCTCCCAACCCTGACCCAACGTTGAACATGTTTAAACCGAGGAATTTATAGTTGTAATGATTGCCAATGACTGTTTTGTTAGCCATTGACCACATGCCTTTCGTTGATTCATTCAAATTTGACCCGACGGTGAGATGAGACGTTGATCTAACCTGGTTAGGTTAGTCGACCAACAACATCGCCCCATTTGTGTTTATTAGCTTTAAATCAACAAATCAACATCCTTCGATGCTGCGGGATGTTACCAATGAGTAGGAAAAGGTAATTGAGAGTCTTGACAACATCACATTCGTATTTGCAACGTTTTGGGAAGGTCGGGAGATCAGCCGGTCGATCTCCAGCCTCACATCGACACCTCGACACACACCTCAACCGATCGACTGACAGCCTTACCTCCCGATAGACCGACAGACCTCCCGACCTCACTTTCCTTAACAGAATGCGCCCCTCTACTAGTGCTCGTTTGGTTTCTGCAAGCAGAAGACTTTTTGTGTGTTAGAAAGGCGTTGGTTTTCCTAAGAGGTTATTTGTTTTGTTACTCTATAACTTCAAAAATAGTACATAAATTTTATCTGCTGATTCAAAGTCAAGATTTATTGAAAGCTGAAAATGAGACACGCGTCGTTCATCGCGAGGACTGTCTTGGTGAAGAATGGTTCCGTTGATGAAGCTATGGGTCTGTTAAACAAGTGAGTTTAACCAGTTTAACTAGTTATTTTGTATTTTTTGTAGATGACATGGTTAATATTGTTGTTAATAGCATTTGCCAGCCAGTGTATATATCCCACGTTTGGCTCTGTGTGAAAATTCTGATCCTTGTTGTTATCGGCACACCGTTTGGAACCATTTTAAAAACTAAGTACATAACTCTTTTCATTTGTCCACAGCATTATGAGTCGTGATGGTTTCTTTGAACAATTCAGACGCACACGATGTTATGAGAAACCTTTTGAGGTGAGTGTCAACACCTAAATGACGTATGTTAACCAATCTGAACATGTTTATTTCACATCCACTTATTGCAGATGCGAAGAAGAGTGAACTACACTAAGTGCAAGTCAATCTACAATGAAGAAATGTCTCGTCGACTGTCATTCCTCATGCGAGTCAATAGGACTGATCCTTACCCAGGGTCCTCGTGATACTACTATAATTCCTGTTTTTTGTGTTGTGTTATTGGCTTAGAGGATTATCAATGAAAAGTCATGTTTTTAACTTCACCAAACTGGCTTTATTTCCATACTTGAATAAAAAGGAGAAGCTAAATACATAAATTGTGTTATGTATAAAATTCTTGCTCAATATCATTGAGATAAATTTCACTAGAACCTTTTTTTTTCTTTTTTTCACAAGAAGATAAGTTCAGAACAAAAATAACCAGACAGTAATTTGAACTTAAAAAGGGGTCGATTGTGGCTGTACTGAAACATAAGCAAAGTGGTATTTAAGATTTAATAGGTTTTTCATTTTAAAAAACCCACTGTCATCACAATCTATGTCTTTAAACTTTGGGTCAGTCTTCAGGTCATAATGGGAGGGAAAACACATGGACTATACATACATATAGCCATATTCTTTACTGATCCATATGTTTAAAAGGAAAATTTTAATCAAGCTGTTGAAACAACTTCATTTCTCTCCTTACTACAAAGAGAATGAACTTCCGAATATTCTGATATTTCCTACTGGGAGTTGAAATCTAGTATCTGTTGCAGTATACTAAAAATAAAATAATATACACATTTTTTTTCTCTTAATTAACACTAAGCTGACAACAGAGCTCCACAATAAAAATTTGGCAAACCAATCATTTCATAATCTACAAACAACTGCTTCATAATATTCATACTAAAAAAAATCTCTAATTCTGTTAAATGGATGAAACAAATATTTGTCGAGAGCCACCTGCAAGTTACAAAAGTCGATATGTTAAAAGATGAATGGTTACCAAAGCTAATATTTTAAATAATTCAACTGCTCCGAACACACTCTTTACTTTATCTTTGCAGGATTAGATGCGTCAAATTGGAAGAGAATTTCAAAATAGAAATACAACGAAATGTTATCTGAAATTTACACCGTAATCTTTTTTGAAAATGATTACAATAGACAGAATGGAAGGAGGACAGTGCAGGAAATATAACAATTTCAGTCAAGATATAAAATTTGTAGAGAATACCATTTCAGATAAGGCAAGATAGGTTCCATGTCTGACTGTTTTAATGAGAACAACTAAATATTTTTCACTTACTCAAATACAGAGATGATAACAAAACAGTGTGAAAGATAATGTTATGTCCAACATAACACCTTTGGGCCCACACTCATACAATACAAAATAACTGATAAAAAAGGTGAAAATACAGAAAGCTCTACAGAATGTTGGCCTAACATAATGCCTGCTATCACACTGGCATACATGATGATGAAGTGCCACTTAGCACAAACTAACTGTGTATTGGTATGAGAATTTGAAGTCTGTTCAGATTAATAAGTAAATGAATCGCAACACACTACTTCAAAGGGCTGAAATAATTTAACAAAAATGTCAAGCTTAAACAACTCCCAGGTTTGAATGTATCACGGCAAAAACAACAATGTACACTTTGTAAAGAAAGAACAATTAGAAAAACAAGTGTAGCCGAAAAGAAATGTTAACAGTTTTGGTCACCTACTTCTAGAAGTAAATCAAGAATTGTCAGCACTAGCACCATCCCCTCCCCTTATTGATTAGGAAATGTAACAGTAAGGAAGGGCAAAGAGGTCTGTTGAATGCATCAACTTTCATCAATTTAGGGATGCGCCCAGTTAAAGGAGTGCTAGGTGCTACTGCTACACCCACTACCTTATCTGAAGAACAAACAAAATATTTCTGAATGTTGCAACCAAGAGGTCACTCAGAACCCGCTGGCATTCCTTTAACTGTCGCAACCTAGGAAGCACCAATACCTAAAAGGTCACTTTTCCAGAAATACACAAAATTGAACAGTGCTAGAAATACTCCTACTTGATAATTATCAAGATATTCTTTCAAGAAAACGGGATTGATATGAAAGTGCAATAGTTGCAAACAAGTAATGACATGTACTTGAACAGGATTCCACATCACTTTTTGTTTTAAGGAGAGGAGTGAGGAGGCAGTTACATACTTGTTTGGCACAGATACAGTATCATGACCATCTCTGAGTTGTATGTGTGTAAATTTGATTAACTAAAGAGAACCCACGCATTTTACAATGCTAGTGGTGCAAATATTAGAAACAATTATCTTTCTTTACATTTCGCATCTCACAACTCTGTACAAAAACTAGGATAAAGCATTTCATACAATGCTCTCTTATCAGTCCATTATAAACATTGAATGCAAGCTTAGTAAGATATAACAAATACACCAAATGCACAGCACAGAACACACCTCTCGAATGTGCCTTGTTAATATATAATGGGAAATAACTTCATTATTATGTAGCAATAAAATACATATTAATGATGTCATTAATGTGGCCAAAACCAATTAATAAATTTAAAAAAAAAGAAAATGGTAAAGACACCTAAATTATCTCTTACTGTTCAAAGTGCCTAAAGAAACATAACAGTACACAAAGTAAATAACAAAAGTGAAATTTGGAATCACTCAAAGGCAGGTGCATGAGAGTGACACAGCCGGGGAATATGAGTTGGATATTATTTTTACAAATTGGAACACTGATACTGCAATGTTTCAGAACAAACTTTTAAAAGAATTGGTCAGATGGGGATATTCACAGGTTTTACAATCTGCACAAAAAAAAGTGGGAAAAAAAAGGGGGGGGGATAGGAGAGAGGAATTAGTTGAGACTACTGCCAGTTCTCTTAAAATCCCCATGTTATGGTTAGAGCTAGGAAGCTGGCTAAATCTAGGATTAGCATGTTCAGCAAGGTGAGCGCAACTGACAGATAAGTTAAACCTCAAAATGCAACAGAATTGAGGGAGTGAACAATGTGTGTATTTCTCTTGATGTTGTTTCTGCTTGTTTTTGTCGTTGTTTTTTTTTGGTGGGAGTGGAAGAGCTTGGAAGTGGTGTATGACATGACATTTAATCCCAAGAGATATGCTTAGTGACATTAGCTGTTGATGCACTAACACTTGTTGCATTGTCAAATGCAACAGCAAATACCACTTCAACAAATCTTGTTATGGTAAAAAATGTATTACACTTTTACAACAGAACCATTAAAAAGAAAAATGGCACTGTTTAATCCCTCAGTTCTGCTGCATTTTTAGATTTAACCTAGGAACAGCCAGCAGTGAAAGTGGCTACACCTAACTAGGATAACCAAAGTGGTCTAGGCCTAGCCCCTCACCTAGTTCTAACCATAGCACATACATGATAGGATTTAAAAGGAATAAGGTATGTCCACACTCAACGGCAAATGTCACTAAAAGGTGGGGAACAATATAGTCTTCTGCTTTCCCCTATATTTCAGTCACTTGAAATAAAGAGTTTTACCTTAATATGAAATCGGCACATCCTAATTCTAATTAGCTTTAAGTTTCCTCACTGTGAAATCTCACACATTACAATAAGCCTAAAAGAAAACAAGCTAAATGACAATTCAAAGATCATAAAAATAAAAGAAAGTGAGGAAGTACAGCAGCCGCTATGCACAGGCATAATATGAATCATGACCCTATCTTTTTACACTAATGTGCCTGAACTTTAATAAACCTCATCAGTAATACCTAATTGTCTCATACTTTATGAGGTTTGATATCACTGACGGGATGGCATGGTACTGTACCTTCATAGTGGCTTTTAGAATGACAGATATGCAAATGACAAGGATTTGAAACACACATAATAAGCACCACTGAATATCCAGACGAGATTAGATAAAAAATTTATTTCAAAGGTTTAAGAAACTTGCGAGCCTTTCAGCAAATTAAGCCACACACAAACTACTTGCTTCAGGCTTCAGTCACCTGAGTCCTCTGTTATTTACCTTAACATATTTCAGTGTTTGCTTGCCTCATGTACAGACAAACAATGATAATGTACAATAAACATTCCATTCCCTCTCAATTTTATATCAATCCAGTCACCAATTAGCCAAGGAAATAAACAGAGGACGATCAAAATACAAGGGCTAAAATTTTGTCCACTGGGCTTGCTTTCTATACACTGCACCATTCTTGCTTTCAGAACGCATCTGTCAGTTGAGTGCAACAGTGAACGTAAAAGTCAGTACTGCAGGCACCAGGAGCTAAAGCAGCTCACAAAATTGATGTAGGTCCTCCAGAAGTTAAGTTTATAACTTACAACAGAGAACACTAAGTCGGTAACTTAAATAATCATATCTTTCCACTGCAAATCATTGCAGAGGAATAAAGGCATCCTCTACAATGCCTTATTTAATCACTTAGTGGAGTAGAGATGAATCTATGTCACTCTGACATGATTGTATGATGGGGTGACTGAAGAAAGTTCACAGCAATACCCCTTTTATTCACTTTTCACTTCTTCCCATTTTGTCGTAGGCTATCCTTCGAAATGCTGCCTCTACGGGCTGGTCCTGTGCCCGGACTTGAAACAGGCGGCGCCATTTGCACTCCATTCGAACTTTTAAAACAAACAATGGACGGCTCCATTAGAAGTTCACCCAGAACAAATTGTAAATATACAACTTATTTTAAAAGCCTTCTTCAAATCTAGATTGATAGAAAGAGAAAAAATCTCTTGATTCATTAAAAAATTAAAAGCACTAAAATAATGGTTTTGTAGTCTTTGAGTAGCGCAAAAATAAT